GGCCCCGTGAAGGGCAGTAATGAACCACTGCCCAAAGGTAACAAGGCTCCCCCGCTCTGGAGTCAGTGCAGGCCCCGTGAAGGGCAGCAATGAACCAATGCCCAAAGGTAACAAGGCTCCCCCGCTCTGGAGTCACTGCAGGCCCCGTGAAGGGCAGTAATGAACCACTGCCCAAAGGTGACAAGGCTCCCCCGCTCTGGAGTCACTGCAGGCCCTGTGAAGGGCAGTAATGAACCACTCCTACCCCTCCCAGACAGGAGGAAATCAGTGGAGGCCTAGTGGGCAGTTGGAATTCCCACCCCTGTCCAGCAGTAATGAGGTCAATGAAGGCCAAGTGGGGAACCTGGACTTGTACCCCCACCAGGCAGTAACAAGGCAGTGCCTCCCTGCTTCCTGCCAGAGTGAAGTTTAAAAAGCCCACTAAAACAGAGGTTTGAAAAAGACCCAGACTCATAATACCCAAACTGTCCAATTTTCAATCAAATCTCACTCATCATATTAAGAACCAGCGAGATCCGTAGATGCCAACAAGAAGATGGCAGAGATCTTAGAATTATTTGACAAACATTTTAAAGCAGCTATCATAAAAATACTTTGATGAGAAATTATGAATGTGCTTGAAACAAATGAAGAAACAGAAAGTCTCAGTAAAGATATAAAGAAGGACGAAATAGACATCTTGGAACTGAAAAATATAATAACCAAAATAGAACTCAATGGATGGACTCAACAGCAAAAACGGTAGGAACATGGGAAAGAATCAGTGAACTAGAAGACAGAACAATGGATATTACCCAATTTGAATGACAAGGAGAAAACAGACTGAAAAAAAAAAGAAAAGAAAAAGAACAGATTCTCAACAAACGATACAATATTTGTGTCATTGGAGTCCTGGAAGGAGAGAAGAAGTTGGATGAGGGTGAAAAAATACTTGAGAAGTAATGGCGAAAACTTCCCAAAATTGGCAAAAGATATAAATCTACATATTGAATGAACCGCAAACAGAATACATTATTGTCAAACTTCTAAAACTAAAGACAAAGAAAAATATATCAAAAGCAGCAAGAAATGACACCTACCTATAGGGGAAAAACAATTCAAATGACAGTAGATTTCTTATCAGAAACCATGAAGGCTAGAAGGAAGTGTCCTGACATTTGTGAAGTACTGAAAGAAAAGAATCCCAGAATCCTATATTCTACAAAAATATCCTTCAGGAAGTAAAAGGAAATCAAGACATTCTCAGATGAATAAAACAAAGAGAGTTTGTCACAGTAGATCTACCCCAAATGGCATTTAAAGGAAGTTCTCTAAACCAAAAGGAAAAATAAAAGAAGAAATCTAGGAACATCAGGAAGGAAAAAAGAACACAGTAAGTAAAATCGTGGGTAAATACAATAGACTTTCCTTCTCCTCTTGGGAAACCCTGGTGGCATAGTGGTTAAGAGCTACGGCTGCTAACCAAAAGGCTGGCAGTTCGAATCCACCAGCTGCTCTTTGGAAACCCTATGGGGCAGTTCTACCCTGTCCTATAGGGTCGCTACGAGTCAGAAGAGACTTGATAGCAGTGAGGTTTTTTTTTTTCTCCTCTTCAGTTTTCTAAATTATATTGACAGTTGAGGGAAAATTTATAACACTATTATAGATCCAATTGTATGCAGAGAAAATACTTAAGACGATTACATTATAAATGCAAGAGAATAAAGACATATAACGGGGGTTATGGTTTCTACACTGAACTCAAGCTTATAAAATGTGAATACTAGTAGACTGTGGTAAGTTATACATATTTATATATATATACAATAATATAAAAGACAGCAACTATTAAAAAACTATGAAAACACTACAGATAAAATGGGTTTATAAAAAATGTTCAAATAATCCACAGAAGGTAGGAAAAAGAAAATGGAGAAATGAAAGAGAGAGAGAACAAACAGAAAACAAAGATTAAAAGGGTAGACGTAAACCTTAATGTACCAATAATCACACTAAACATAAATGGTCTAAACAGATCAATTAAAAGAAACAGATTGGCAGAGGGGATTAAAAAACCTAACCCACCTATATGATGTCTACTAGAAACTCTCTTCAAATATAACAATATAGGGAAGTTGGAAGTAAAAGAATGGAAAAGGATGTCATGCAAACAATCAAACGAAAGCAGGAGTGGCTATATTAATGTCAGATAAAGTAGACTTCAGAGCAAAGAAAATTACCAGAGAGGGACATTATATAATGATAAAAAAGTCAATGCACCAAGAAGACACAGTAATCCTAAACGTGTATGCACCAAACAAGAGAGCTGTAAAATATGTTAAGAAAACACTGATAGTACTGAAAGGAGAAGCAGACAAATTCACAAATATAGTTGAAGACTTCAACATCCCTTTCAGCAACTGCTAGAAAAACCCGACTGAAAAATCTGCAAGGATATAGAACTCAACAACACCATCAACCACTTGAATCTACTTGACATTTATAGAACACTCCACCCAACAAGAGCAGAATATACATTATTTTCAAATGTCTATAGAATATAACACATTTTTTTTGTTCTCTCTCTCTCCCTCCCTCACCCATTCACCTACAAACACTCCCACACTCAGGCTACCAGACACAAAATATAATTTCAAAAATATTCTTAAACCAAGAAAAAGTGAACCTCAGCAGGCTCTGACTCATTCTCAAGTATAAAAGCTCTCGTTTCTGTTGTTATTTGACCACTTACGTACTAAAATTTCAGAGAATGCACTTGGAAAACATCAAAGACAAAGGGCCAATTCCAGGATTTAAAATCATAAATGATTTCTTGAAAATCATAGTACGTTCAAATCTTTAGCTGTTATTTTACTGAAAACCACTGGAATGGAAAGTTGAGAACAGCTGAACATTCTTCAAGAATTGTTTTCAAAATTAAGGTCACTGTTCCTTGGAAATAAATTGACCTTCATTAAGTCACTGTGGTTATGCCTCAGCCACGCACAGCAGGAACATTCTCCCCACCACCAGAAGGCTGCATTTACCTGGTCTGGTCAATTCACTGAAGAGATGAAGTAGAAAGCAGGGGTCATAAAGGTCGTTGAGATCCACTATGCTCTTGTCTTTAAATATCAATTCCTGTGCATCCTGAGATAGCCCAAAACAAACAGAAATGCACTATTCAACCTTATTTTAAGTGTAATATCATGCAAATGTTTACCCACTATTTCTGGAATTGAAAATATTTTGAATATTCAGGTCAGGAGCATGCAAAAAAATATAGAAAAAGAAACAGCATGGGTATATGCAATGACATGTTTGGAATTTGCTTAAAATAATTTGGGGAGGGGAGGCTATATATGGAACAAATTTGGCCAATACTGGTAACTGTTGAGGCCTGGTGATGAGTATATGGGTGTCTAGTCTCTATACCTTTGTATATAGTTGGAATTTTACATAACAAAAAGTTACACAACAAGAGAAACAATGCCTGTATTTAACGGCACTATTAAGCTGAAGGTACAGCTGGAGCTCCTGGAGGGAAAGGAGGCAGAACCACCTTCACCCTGAGTGCCCATCAGCTCTGCCCTCGCCTCTGAGGAGGAACAGCAGCAGGCGTGGTCGCACCTCAGGTGGCAGCAGCTTCCGGTTCTGGGGGAAATGGAGGATGGTCTTCAGCATCCGGTCCCGATCCAGCAGGCGGAGAATGTCCCCAGTGCTCGGCTGCTGCCACAGTGACTTGCCCAGGCTCCGGCATGTCCTGTGATGCTCCACAGCTGCTGGGCCCCACAGCAGCACCCTAGAGTCCCAGAGAGGAGAGCTGATTGGTCACAGGGCCCCACTGGGCAAAAAATGAATAACCACGATGATGACCACAATAGGAAGCATTTATCGAGCAGCTGTCAAACGCCTGGTGCTGCTCTGCGCGCTTACCGGTGTTGTGCATCACGTACTCCCCGCACAACCTAGGAGTACGGGGTGGTGATCGCGTCAATGGTAACAACAGAAACTAACACCTATGCAGAGTGTATGACTTCCAGGCATGATTCTAAGCCCTCACTAAATCTTCACAGCAACCCCATAAGGTAGGTACTATTATTATCTCCATTTTGCAAATGGGGAAACACAGAATTAGAAAAATTGCTCTGCTGGTAAGTGGAAGAGCTGAGATTCAAACCCGGGAAGTCTGGCTCCTGAGTCACGCTAGACCACAGCTGCAGAGCCCTGGCTGCTTGATGATGCTGCAGGCCTTTCCTCGTTCACATGAGATGGGGAGCAAAGTAGGCCTGCATGGGCTAGCCCCAAGACTCCACATTGCTGTACCATTCACGTCACCCCTCTCCCACTGCAGCTGCCCACAGAAGCCCACCTCACCTTCCTCCTGGAAAACAACAAAGGCCTCCCTCCTGCTCCTCCCTTTATCCCAACCCCCAATCCCTCCCCACCGCTGCCAGGATGCGTTCCCAAAGCCCTGCTTGGATGAGGGCCACTTCCCTCCCTGAAATGTCCACTAGCTCTCTGCCTGCTATCTCCTGGATGAAAATGAAAATGCTTCAGCCTGGTATGCAGGGCCTAGAACCAACATGTCTGACTTATTTCCTACACCACTCTATGATCCAGATAAGCTGACCTACTCGCCATTCCCCGAAGTGCTCCGACTTTCCCACCTCCAAGCCATCATCCATGCTGGTCCCTCCACAGTGCCCCAGGCTCCTCTGCCAGCCTCACCCCAAACTCCTCCCTGTCCTTCAGGAAGCCTCCCTGATGCCCCCCAGGCAGATGCTGCCTTGCCCTTGTGCCAGAACAGTCACTTCACACAGGTGACTGAATCAGATGCCGTTTCAGAGTTAAGCGTGTGAGAGCTGTATACCCTCAACAGATGGCGGGACCGCTGCATTGCTCTTGGCATTCCCCACAGTGCTGAGCACCCAAAAACCAAACCAAACCTGTTGCTGTCGAGTTGATTCCGACTTACAGTGACCCTATAGGACAGAGTACAACTACCCAATAGAGTTTCCAAGGAGCGGCTGGTGGATTCCAACTACCAACCTTTTGGTTAGCAGCCTGGGCTCTTAACTACTGCGCCACCAGGGCTTCAACAAACATCTACTGAAAAAAATTCTTCTAAATACAGACTCGTTTCTACACAAGTAAACAATGGTTACTCAAGTTAAAGACGTGAATAATCATTTTTAAGAAGGTGTCCCTCTGACAATGGTTTCTAGGGGCAGGCAGCTGATGCACAGGAAATGCCCTGGGGGACAGGCATGGCTCGCTGGCAAGAGACCCGCTCACTGCGTGTCCCAGAGCACACCGGCACGCCCCCTAACTCAGCCTCCTCCTCGTCTGTAGGAGTGACACTCACTCTCCTTTGAGGAGACGGCTCCGTGCTCTCAGCCACCAGAGCCCAGTAGTCCCACCCCCACTCACTCTCCTCTGAGAAGACAGCTCCTTGCTCTCAGCCACCAGAGCCCAGCAGTCCCACCCCACTCATGCTCTCTCCTGGTTGCTGAGCCTAGACTCCTTCCGTGGCCAACTCCAACCGTTTATTCATGGGGCAACTCACTTGACCTTTAATCCCTGAGTCAGAGGGTGTTGGAACGCAGAAACGGACAGTTAGAATAGCCCTCTCTTCAGTGTGATAAAAACTGCTTCCGATTTGCTCTCCCTCTCCTCACATACGCAGGGATGGTTCCACTCCAGAAAGGGTACGGCTGGCAAGCCACCAACTATAGAGCAGCAAGAGTGAGCTCATAAGATGAAGAAGAGAAAGCTTACCCAAGACCCGGGAATTCTTAAGAATATGTCTTTGTTTTTTAATCTATTTCCTGGAGGGGGATTTCTGGGCTAACACAGATTGTATCCTGAAAAAAAAATATATGTTGCAATGGAAACAGTCTTCTCGCCCCTGTAGAGATTTCCTAAGGCATTTTTCTCGGCCCAGTCAGCTCACTTCCCATGTGATGACATAAAGCCCTTCTTCATGTACATATTGGGCTGATGTCAGGGTGCTGATCTCAAAAGAGAAGGAGAAAATAAGACTCTAGGACAGCAAAGGGAACAATCCAAAAATGCTTTCCATGAACTGCACATTTGAACAAGTCCCTTCTTAACCCCGGCACTCACAGAGAGGAGCAGTGCCCACACAGAAAGCCATCGGCCCCAGCCCCTCAAGGCCCAGGTGTGCCGGCCGAGGAGGCAGGGAGCAGCCCCTGGGAACCCAGAGGAGACAAGACAGACAGGGAGAGAGACAGACACACCCACTCTCACAGGCAAACAGAGAGAGTAGAGATAACGTCCAGTTGGCACTCCTCACTTTTCTCCCCCTAAACCCCCATCTCATACGTCATTTCCATCTGAAGTCAAGCAAAAAAGAGAAAGGGTTTCAGAAAAATCAAAACCAAACCAAGACGCAGCAGCCAGGATGAGTCTGGAGCAGGCCTAGGGCACACGTGCACCCATCAATCAGTAGGGCCGGCCCAACCTGGACCCTGAGCATGAGCTCAGGGCCTTTCCTGGGGTGGGCAGGCTACGCTGGAGCTGCGTGTGAGCCAAGGGACTTCTCCCTGTCCTGAGAACCAAAAAGGAAGGAAAAACTGCCGAGTGCAAGCTCACGGTGCAGAGTGAGCCCCAGTCTCCACCGGTGCTCACCTGAAGTTAATGAGGCTGATGTCGTTCTTTTCATACGCCCGGAGAAGAAGTAAAATCTTCTGGTCTAGAAGTCAATCGATGGTCTGTTTAGGAACCTGAATTCCTTATACAGTCCCCCATGATACAGTACCCCATCTTCACACACTCCCCGGGTCACAGCCCTGTCCTCACACACTCCCCGGGTCACAGCCCCATCTTCACACACTCTCCAGGTCACACCTTCCTCCTCACACACTCCCCTGCTCACACCCCCATCCTCACACACTCCTCTGGTCACAGCCCCATCCTCACACGCTCCCCGGGTCACACCTTCCTCCTCACACACTCTCCTGCTCACACCTCCATCCTCACACACTCCTCTGGTCACAGCCCCATCCTCACACGCTCCCCGGGTCACACCTTCCTCCTCACACCCTCCCCGGGTCACAGCCCCGTCCTCACACACTCCCCAAGTCACATCTTCCTCAGATCACAGCCCCATCCTCATACACTCCACGGGTCACACGTTCCTCCTCACACACTCCACGGGTCACACGTTCCTCCTCATAAACTCCCCTGGTCACACCTTCCTCCTCACACACTCCCC